GATGTACGTCAAAGCCGACGCGTCGGTGATTACCGTGAACCTCGAACCTTCGATATAACACCTGAATTTTTCCAATGACCTCAGGACTGCTAAGGCCTCCTTCTCGGTGGCGGCATATCGCTGCTGTGTGGCACCTAATTTTTGCGAAAAGTAGGCGACCGGCTTGTCGATGTCATCGTACGTCTGGGTCAGAACTCCGGCAATGGCGGAATCGCTAGCGTCACAGTGGATAGAAAACGGCTTGGAAAAGTCGGGGTTCGTCAATATGGGAGCGCTGATCAACAACTCCTTAATTTTGACAAACGACGCTTCAGCGGACTCGTTCCACTTCACGACTTTCGGTTGATCTTTAAGCAGATCAGTTAATGGGCGTACAATCTCACTAAAGGTGGCTATAAACCGCCGATAGTAGTTGCACATACCCAGAAATCTCCGCAATGCTCGCAGCGACTTTGGACGTTCGAAATTGAAAATGGCTTCGACCCGATCCGGATTTGGGCGAAGTCCGTTCTTACTCAAAATATATCCCAAGTACGGGACTTCCGACACACAAAATTTTGACTTCTGTAAGTTGATGGACAGATTAGCGGCTCTGAGTCTAGATGCCAACTCCTTGAGCCTGTCCAGGTGCTCCTCAAACGTGTTGCTTATCACGATGATGTCATCGAGATAAACAAACACGTTTGGTTCCAGCTCACTCCCGCCGAGGACCCGATCCATCAATCTCGACAAGGTTGCCGGGCTGTTCACTAGACCGAAGGGCATCCGAGTGAACTGGAACAGCCCTCTCCCTAACACCGAAAACGCGGTGTACTTTCGAGAACGTGGATGCAACGGAACCTGCAGAAAAGCTTTCGACAAATCTATCGTGGAGATGTAACAACTCGGACCTAAGCGACTCAAGATTCTATCGGCGTGTGGGAGAGGGTAAGAGTCCCGAACAGTTCGCTCGTTGAGCTTCCGGGCATCTAGACATAAGCGGACTGAACCATCTGGCTTGTCCACTGGGACAAGGCGGAGTGACCAATCACTGTATGACCGTTCAATAATCCCACACTTCAACATACTGTCTAGTTCCTGATTTATCTTCTCTTGCCTAGCGGGTGAGGTTGGAAATGGGTTTATGCGCACCGGGGGAAGCTTCTTCGCTTCGTCCGACAGCTCGATTCGATGGCTAATCATCGCCGTTGACTCTAGACGACCTTCTACTGCGGGTTTGAACAACTTCTTCACTTCTTCTAGTTTTTCCATCTGCTCTTCTGTTAAAGAGGATTCCACCGTATGTCCTCGTAGCTCTTCTACGGAACTGGGAAAATCGGTGGCCGCAATTGTCGGCATGATTCCAAACGACTGCCAAAAGTCTGATCCTAAGATCAGTTTGCGTTTTACAGATGGAATAACTAGAGCTGACAGAATCTTTGTTACGCCATTGAACGTAACTGGCAGATCTACGCATCCTGAAACTTCCAACTTTTGCCCACTGGCCGTAGCGATATCGATGTGGACGGGTTGTAGACGCAAATGGCACGTTTTGAGTAGAAAACTTGCACCATAACCTAAAATGCTGCGATTCGCACCGCTATCCAGCAATCCAATCAGTGGAACATCCAGGATTTCTACTTTTACAAAGGGTCTATCATCGTCCGCGATTTTTAGAAAATGCTCGCTAATTTCTATATTGGAGGAGTGCATATATTCGTCGTTACCAACTTGCCGCAAACCTAATGAAAGAAGACTACGATCGGGATTACTAGGGGTTTTCTTATCGTACTCAGCTGCCGTCTGCCCCTCCAGACGGGAACTTAAGCGTTTTTTGCACAGAAAGGGCAAGATTTAGTCTCCACGTTGTGGAAACCACACTTGTAGCAGAATTTATGCTTGGGGCGCTCGCACTCAGATTGGTGATGACCTGGAAGGCGACAGTTATAACACATGCCGGGCTTGGGCGGAATGTACGTATCCAGTAAAACCTTCAACCCATCAGACACAGACTTTTTACCGTTCTCATCATCTCCAGACTGCTGATCGCGTGCCGGCTTTCTGTCTCCTTTTTCCCTATTTGGTTTATCCGCTGCTTTCTGATCCGATCGAGATTTTGCCGGCTGATCTCCAACTCTGTTTGGTTTCGAATTCATATATGATCTCAATTCATTAACTTGGGAACGATTCCTAGAAGGTTGTTCATCTTGGTTACGGGTCTCATACTTATACCAAAAAGTGGCATCCAGTTTGCGACCAAAAGGTTTCAGATCTGCAAGATTGTCAATTTGAGCAGCTACTACATGCCCTTTGTAATCCGCTCTCAAATTTCTAAACACGATCTCAAATTTCTTTTTTTCTGAAATTGGTTTCGTTAATGAATTGAAAATTTTTTGAATGTCAAAGAAGAAATCCTGAAACTTTTCTTTAGATCTTTGTTTCCTGTCAACAGCTCTAAACTCGCTCACGTGGTCGTGGTCTGGGCTCAAAAATTCCTTTTTCATCTCGGCCACCAACTCTTGCCAAGACGTAAAATCCTCATTCTCCACCCCTTGCATAAACCAAACTTTGGCTAGGCCTGAGAAAAGATGGATCGCTGAACGAAACAATTCCTTATCGGAGACGTTTTCCGATTTCGCATAAAATTCCACTTCCTTAATGAATCGCATCAAACCTTGACCTCCGTCCCTACCGTCATAACGGCGTAAATTCCAGTCCGACACTGGTTTTGTTCGCCGCGTATTTGGGCCACGGGACCTATGTTTTGATCTCCTCGGTGGAGATGCGGACAATGACGACTCAGACACTGAATCGGAATCAACAACTTTATTATTTGGATTTGAATTCTTACTCGATAGATCAAACCTATTCAGAATACGCTCCTTAGACTTCTGGCGAACTGTTCTTGCTCCGGACGGTTTTGCAATACTGGGTGGAACATACGAATCTGAAGTTGGTTGTTCCAAAGTTGACCGGAGTAGACGACGCGATTGATTAGCACCTGAATTTGACGGCTTTGATCCTTCTGCAACCCGTGATTCCCCGTCGGTATCATCTGTCTGTGTCTCCTGTGACACACGCTGTACATTCGAAGGAACTGGTAGACCTAACTGTAACTGGGTCAGGGAATTTGTAATCTGCAGCATCACTTCCTTGCGAATCGAATCAATCGGAGAAAACATAGTGAAGAATGTGCTATACCACCGACGAATAGTACCTAGTAGCCTGTCCAGATCTTCTAGATCATTATCTTCTTCGGCGGCCAGATCTTCTAGATCATTATCTTCTTCGGCGGCACTTTGAATGGCAGAACATCGAGCAAAATAATGCACTAATCGTGTCCCTAATGCATCCCTAATGCCTTCGAACTCCTTCCTCTTTTCCAAATAATCTCGAATTTCCTTAATCTTTCCATCGATCAACCTAATTTCTCCATCAACCGTACGAGTTTCACAGATTGCAAAATCAACTTTTTCCGGGTCACCTCTTTCCCTCTTCAACTTTTCCCGCAAACGTCTTCGGATTACCGATAAACTTTCCTCTTTCTCGAATTGAACTGCTCTAACCTCTAGTTCAAATTCAACCTCTTCCTTTTCTAGATGGTGAACCAAAAGGGTTCGATATTTTATCTGGATTTCAGCATCCATATCTAAGAATCTTTCAGGTGGTTGGAACCTTCAGGAAGTAACGAGTGTTCGAATCACGGCTAGATCAACGTCTGGGCCCTTTCCAGACTCACTCTTATATCCAACTGTACTCACCCTTCTCAGTCGTGATTTGATTTAACCAGACTCCAGGACGGTTTTCAAAGCAGCCTTCTTGATTCTAGGGCCCACTCGTTACATCCGGAACGGTTCCAACATCCACGAAAGCTTCTCAGATCTGCAAATCATATTAATTGAATTAATTTTATTCTAACTGATACCAAAAAATCAACAAAACCAGCGATGAAAAAACAACAAAACAAATCAACGAAAATTGAGAATCCTAGGGGGGCTTCAGTGCTTCAGAAAGAACTCGTAATTGTAATTAACTGAATTGCATGCAAAATTCTAATAACCAATAATTACTAACTGCATGCTGAATACTAATAATAATCACTTGCAATTGTCGTTTGGAGAACGCAAAACAATTAAACAGTTTTTACTGTTTTTTTCCTCCCTCGGTCGGGAAGAGAGAGATACTGTAACCGAAATTCCTGAAAAATCAATGAAATTATTTTTATGTTGGGCGCCAATTTGTAAACCCCTCTGCTACTCAGTGGAAAAAGTTATCAACAGGGTCGGAAGGAAGGAATACGGTATACCACTCTCACTCTTCAATCTATGCTGTCAGTAGTAACTCACGACGATAGGGTATTGTCCATAAACAGGGCAAAGGGGAAAGACAACATGAATGATTCACTTATGGTTTTCTATGCTCAAAAGCCACAGAGTCAATTTCCTACTGAATAAACCACAAAGGGAGGGAGGCATGAAGACTCCTTTCGAGTCCGGAGAACGATACACAAAAGAAATGGTAGTGAGATTTTCAACTAGTATGAAAAGTTCTGGACTAAGAAAATTACATGTACAATAGCATTATATTCTAGATTTTACGATACATAGTTTTTAACATTGTGACGTCACATTTTACTTGCGGTTTGGCTTCGTTTTCGGGGTTTCTCGGCAGTGGCGGTGGTGGTGGCGATGGGGCGATGGTGGCGGTGATGAAGCGGGTGGTGGTTATTCTGGCGAATCACTAATTGGTCTAATTCTGGTGACTGCGTGGCGATTGCGTGATAACTCGCCCGGTGCATGCAGTTCGCGGAGCGGTGGCAACCAAAACAGCATAGAGGGTGGCGGAAGAGAAAGAAGCGGGACGATATTGGCTCGTTAGAACCCGCGGTAGCGACTGCTGCACTGCTCCAAGCTGGTTCTCCTGAACCCAGCTGGAGGACCAATCCCGAACGCGTGTCACAATGGACTTACCGCTGCAACGTGGCCTTTGCAAAATGGCTTCGCTAATAATGCCGGGCTCGAACACAATGGCGCTCGCTCCAGGACAAATGCTGCCAAAGAAAAGAAAAAGGCCCTTTGTGGACCTAACCACGCTTATTAGCACCTCGCCATACACATTTAATTAGCCTGCCCCTTTCAAAACCAAACCAACCACATAATTACTCATACAATACATAATTTTTTTCACAAATTTACAATAAATGTACATAAATTTACCTTTTCTTTTAGAATTATCTGCACGGTAACAGTCAACCGTCAGTTTGGGGTGACAATTGGTCGAACTACCCTAACCTTAAAGAACAATATAACACATTATTTTCAGTTCTAATTTTACAGCTAGCACTACTAACCACTTTTACTAACGAAATTTTTAAACACGACTGACACTACTAACTTTTCTTTTTACTAGCCCTAGACCTGTAATTAAACAAAACACACTATTTAAAAAAAACCACACTACACATTTTTACCTCGCCCTTTCAGCGAACCTTTGGGAAAATTAGCACGTCGCGCACTGAGTCTGTTCCCGAGTGCGGTTGAAACAGAATTAACCTGACTCCTGCTAGCATGCCAAGCAATAATCCGCAAAAAACCACGAAATACGAGCAGACCCGAAATGTTGCTGTATTTACATATTTATTTCACCCGTCGTTGTCTCTCCCCTTACCCCATATATGGACAACCTTTTCGGCAGAGCGCCTGCTGTCAACCAGTTTGATGAGAGTGAGTGGTACCGCAGGCGAATGGAAAGGTATGGGAAAGTGAGCGACCAACAGCAGAGTTGGATTTAGGACATTCTACAACACTGTTATACAGTCGATTATGAGTGCACTTGTGATAGAGTCACAAGCCCACATTATGGAACCATCGGTTACACGGTTAAACTGTTTGACAGGAGCCATATAGGATGTGGAATAAACGCATCAAAACAAACCTTAAACTGTTTGACAGGAGCCATATAGGATGTGGAATAAACGCATCAAAACAAACCATTGGGAGCTCTTATAAAACAATAGCTTCCAGAGTTGTACAAGAATGTAGTTGTATTGCCATTTGGTTAAAAGCTGCAAAAGCTGCTTGGATCACTCTTAAATGATTGTTTACGTTCGACCAACCACCAACCACAATTTTGTTGCTAAAAATAGCACAAGTGATAGGCACGTTTATATGACCATAAGGCAATGATTATTCGACTGCAAGAGAAGTCACTCAAGATGAGCTTCATATAAATACTTCTCTCATATGATCAAAATATGTATTCAAGAATAGAGCAGATGGAAACAGAAGCGGCTGGCAATCCGGGATCATGAGTTCGAATCTTGCTTCGAGAAACCCTCGGTGGAGTAGAGGTAAATTATATATAGGTGTTATTAATAAAAGCAAACATTAATTTAAGACATATATCATATTATCAACGATAACATTTCTAGATAAATTCTCTCAATTAATGATTAGAGAGATTAATTGAAAGAATATCAATCAAAGATTAAACAGATGCTTGTTACTACTTCCTCCATGATCACAGAATGTGAATTATGGCATAATTAAATTAATAAAAACTGTACAAGCAATTATTTTGGCGTACCACGACAATTGTTAAACTAATTTTAATCTGTGAATATTGTGAGTACTAACACAACGGTTATTAAGGAGTCATTAAAAAGTGCTATAAACGCTTTTCACCGCTTGCTGTACAATGATTATTTAGGAGTCATAAAAGAGTGTAACAAACGCCTCTCAGGTTTCCTCTCTACTAAATATCAAAGCAGCTGTCAGGAAGTGTCTACAAACGTTGTATAAGAGCTTTCACCAAAACAATAAAGCTTGACTTTAAATATGTATCTATAAACGTTGTATAAAAGTTGCTTCTATCCGGTTGTTAAGGAGTCATTGAAAAGTGCTATAAACGCTTTTCACCGCTTGCTGTACAATGATTATTTAGGAGTCATAAAAGAGTGCAACAAACGCCTCTCAGGTTTACTCTCTACTAAATTTCAAAGCAGCTGTCAAGAAGTGTCCACAAACGTTGTATAAGAGCTTTCACCAAAATAATAAAGCTTGGGCTATGTATCTATAAACGTTGTATAAAAGTTGCTTCTACTCCTATAGCGCGTATACATATAATGCTGTAGTTGAACAGGTTCTCCAAACCAGTGTAAACAAGAGTTTTACAGAAGTTGTAATAAACAAATTGTACAGTTATTATTCAGCATGCAGTTGAATAAAAACACAATAAAAGCGTTTCTTCAACAAGAAATTGATTTTGGATAAACGTTTTACCACAAACGAAGTGACAGACGACTAACTGGCGAAGAAATCAATTAAAATAATGTGGTTCACTGTAATAGAATTTTCTTGGAAGCTTGTGCTATCATCCACCAGATGGGTTAGTTTTTTTGTTTTGATTTGAACAGAGTTGATTTTGTGTACAATGATTCTTTGACAGTGTGCAAAGAGTGCGTATCATTTTGTCATTTTTTTATGCATTTCAGTTTTAAGTAGAGTGAAAGAGATAGAATCAAAACATTCTGATACATTTGGTGAAAATGCTAGTTCAATCCAGTAGTAGTGTTGCCATGTGGTACAATCCAGTAGTAGTGGTGTTGCCATGTGGTACACTGAAAAATTGAAATAGCAGGTTAGTCACCAAAGTTTTCGAGCCGCTCCGTCTGTCACTTCGTTTGTGGTTTTACTGAATACGTTAGACAACACCTTTGTGTTGCAGTTGTATAGGTTCTCCAAACCAGTGTAAACAAGGGTTTTATAAAAGTTGTGGTTAACACATTGTGCAATTATTATTCAACTTGCAGCTGAACAAAATCAAAACGAAAGCGTTTCTTCAACTGGAAATTGTTACTTGGGCAACTACCTGCAATAATTTCCACACTCAAGAATGAGTTAGCGGACTCCCAAAGTACTCTAGCATGTGAAATAAAATCTCACATAGAAGAAATGGCAAAATCTCTTTCAACACCAGCCGTCATCATTTCCAAGAATTACACAATTGACGAACCAGCCCCCAGCTGGCGAATCTTGGGAAATAAAAAAGTATGGAAGCGTGACTGGACAGAATATGACGCCAAGCAACATTCCCGCCGTCTCCAGGAAAAAAACGAGGAAAAAGCCAGACTTAGGCGCAAAAAACGAGAAAAGAAACCAGGTAACAACCCCCACAACAATACCAACAAAAACAGCGGCAGTAACAACTACACTATTGGCAATTGCAACAATAACAACAACAACAACAACAACAACAACAACAACAACAACAACAACAACAACAACAACAACAACAACAACAACAACAACAACAACAACAACAACAACAACAACAACAACAACAACAACAACAACAACAACAACAACAACAACAACAACAACAACAACAACAACAACAACAACAACAACAACAACAACAACAACAACAACAACAACAACAACAACAACAACAACAACAACAACAACAACAACAACAACAACAACAACAACAACAACAACAACAACAACAACAACAACAACAACAACAACAACAACAACAACAACAACAACAACAACAACAACAACAACAACAACAACAACAACAACAACAACAACAACAACAACAACAACAACAACAACAACAACAACAACAACAACAACAACAACAACAACAACAACAACAACAACAACAACAACAACAACAACAACAACAACAACAACAACAACAACAACAACAACAACAACAACAACAACAACAACAACAACAACAACAACAACAACAACAACAACAACAACAACAACAACAACAACAACAACAACAACAACAACAACAACAACAACAACAACAACAACAACAACAACAACAACAACAACAACAACAACAACAACAACAACAACAACAACAACAACAACAACAACAACAACAACAACAACAACAACAACAACAACAACAACAACAACAACAACAACAACAACAACAACAACAACAACAACAACAACAACAACAACAACAACAACAACAACAACAACAACAACAACAACAACAACAACAACAACAACAACAACAACAACAACAACAACAACAACAACAACAACAACAACAACAACAACAACAACAACAACAACAACAACAACAACAACAACAACAACAACAACAACAACAACAACAACAACAACAACAACAACAACAACAACAACAACAACAACAACAACAACAACAACAACAACAACAACAACAACAACAACAACAACAACAACAACAACAACAACAACAACAACAACAACAACAACAACAACAACAACAACAACAACAACAACAACAACAACAACAACAACAACAACAACAACAACAACAACAACAACAACAACAACAACAACAACAACAACAACAACAACAACAACAACAACAACAACAACAACAACAACAACAACAACAACAACAACAACAACAACAACAACAACAACAACAACAACAACAACAACAACAACAACAACAACAACAACAACAACAACAACAACAACAACAACAACAACAACAACAACAACAACAACAACAACAACAACAACAACAACAACAACAACAACAGGACCCGAAGCAGCCATCTCTACAACAGCACTGCATTACCTTTGGATAAAGAACTTTTGGCTGCTGCACGAATACAATTTTCTCGGCCACCCAAAGAAAGCGGACTAAATTTCATTAATTTCGAAAAAGGGGAAACTATTAACCCTTATCGAACTGAAAAACCAACTGAGCGAGAACACCCTCCTCTTCTGGACCCCATGCGTCCGCCATTAGTGAGACTTACTGAACAGTCCGTAACTGGCGACCAACGCTTCCTGAAGGCGCGTCTAAGGGACCCGAAAATTATGGACATTGTTCGGACCTACCTCTCCTTTCTGCATGACCAGCCATCATCAACATGTATTCGCGGAATCACCAAAACCAGTGCTATTCTAATGCTAGCAGCTGAAGGACTACCAAAAGACAGAAATCTCCTGCACGAAATTTTCCTGGACGTCCATGAAGAACTTGGAATTACTCGAAACGACGCCTTGGCAGACCTGCAATCCTACCGTACATTCCTGTCCAGTGAACGCACGCAACGGCTACAATCTACTAGGGAGGCCGCCCTCAAATTTTACAATCCTGTAAATTTTCAACGCCGCTGACGCACCTTGAGGAAGACTCATTATTTCTATATAACGATGCTCGGCATGAGACTGAGGTAACTAATAATAACAATGACCATACTTTATCAACCGACGTATTTCCAACAATTTCTTCACACAGACAGAATGCGACTGAAATTTTGATTTATTGTCAAAATTTCAATCGCATGAAAAGCCCAGCTAAAATGAAGGAAATATATCAACATTTATTATGCTCATCCTTTTCGGTCATTCTGGCAACTGAAACAAGCTGGGACGAAAGCGTAAAAAGTGAAGAAATCTTTGGAAATGCCTTTAATGTATTCAGAGACGACAGAAATTTTCATGCAACACAGAAGAAGTCAGGTGGTGGAGTTCTTATAGCTCTTTCGGCCAATTTTAACTCAGAAATTATCTTTACACCAAAATTTACAGAATTTGAGCATATTTGGGTGAAATCACACATAGCCGGTGAAACGCACGTGTTCGCCTCAGTGTATTTTCCACCAGACCATGCTCATAAAAGCACTTATGAAGCCTTCTTCCAAAGTGCTGAACAAATTCTATCTGACCTTCCTCCTGAGGTTAAAGTTCACATCTATGGAGACTTTAATCAACGCCATGCTGACTTCATTCTGGACTCTGAAAATGAATGTATCTTACTCCCAGTCGCTGGGGATAATGAAACATTGCAGTTCATTTTTGACAAAACTGCTAATT